CAAGGGAAGTACGTCATTTTCGGATACTTCCGAAAACTCAACGTCAACTTCTGCTTGCTAAGTACAAACTCTGTTGTCATCGTCTTGGTCAATCCAAACATGACACAGAGCATTCTGTGATGCCACATCCATAGTGTTGTCATCGTCTTGGTTAATCCAAACGCAACACAGAGCATTCTGTGATGCCACATTAGCATTGTCATCATCTTGGTCAATCCAAATGCAACACACATAATGACACATCCAAAGCAGGTGGTCTGCTGTGCACTTTGCTGTCTTGCACTCTTCGTTGTCTTGGCCAGTCCAAACGATTTGTGCAATGTATCTATCTACCACATTTCTTTGCACGCTCATTGTTGTCTTGGCCAGTCCAAACAATTCAAGTGCCACGTCAAAGCGAGTCTCTTCATAAACTCAAAGAACGTGTTACACACGATCAGGCAGTGGTTTATATATGGTGATACCATCAAAACAGATCAGAACACATAGATTAAAGTTTTAGATCTCAGTTATTGGATCTTATTCTTTTGACACATCATAGATTCCTATGACGCACGAAACTTTCCCCCATCAAATGATCGGGAAATGTTCGTGCGTCATCATTTTTCTAACCTGCTCATGTGGCTGTGTGTAATTCAGTTTATTGGTGGAATGGTACATTGCTGTCTTGGCTAGTCCAAACACAATGAAAGTTCTCTGTCAATACCCCTTCGATTTTCGTGATCTTAAACTCGTTCAGATAGTCCCACACTCCGTGAAGATGCTCCCCAAAACCGTTTACGAAACGGTTGAGGTCTCGTGGAGCTAGGTCAGTTTCCATTTTCGCTCTTTTGCCCTTATGCTCACAACTCCCCAGGACCTCAATCTGCTTCGTTTTCTGTGGTCGAGGGCTCGTTCGGATACCCCCACACTCCGTGAAGACGCTCCCCAAAACCATTTACGAAACGGTTGAGGTCTTGTGGAGCTAGGTCAGTTTCCATTTTCGCTCTTTTGCCCTTATGCTCACAACTCCCCAGGACCTCAATCTGCTTCGTTTTCTGTGGTCGATGGCTCGTTCGGATACCCCCACGCTCCGTGAAGACGCTCCCAAAAACCATTTACGAAACGGTCAAGGTCTCGTGGAGCTAGGTGAGTTTGCATTTTCGTTCTTTTGCCCTTATGCTCACAACTCCCCAGGATCTCAATCTGCTTCGTTTTCTGTGGTCGAGGGCTCGTTCCGATAGCCCCACGCTCCGTGAAGACGCTCCCCAAAACCATTTACGAAATGGTTGAGGTCTCGTGGAGCTAGGTCAGTTTGCATTTTCGTTCTTTTGCCCTTATGCTCACAACCCCCCAGGACCTCAATCTGCTTCGTTTTCTGTGGTCGAGGGCTCGTTCAGATACCCCCACACCCCCTGAAGAGACTCCCCAAAACTGCCTATGAACTAGTTGAGCACTCTTGGATGTATGTTACGTTCTATTTTTGTCTTTTTGTGCTCATACCCACCAACTGCCCAGGACCTTCTCATGGCTCATTTTGCATAGCCTTGGGCTCATTAGGATACCCACACACTCTGTAAAAATATGCCACAAAAGTTGTCATGACCTTAATTGTTATATCTTTAATATGAAGAAGTATAGTTACATAAATGTGAAAATGGAGGCAATAAATTCATATATTAGAGTCTGACAGCCAAGTAGAGCAATACATTAGCTACCACCTACATCAATGACAACATGGATAGGACTAAAAGCAGGTGATAACTAAGAAATAGTAGAGCAGACTGGCAAAGTCGTCAATGTTGAGCAGGCAGCTGATCGTGGGAATAAATCACTTTCGTGGGAGAAAGTCAAATTTCAGCGTTACCGCGCTGAAAAAAGTCCTGAGATCCTGGGTAATGAACGAGTCTCTTCGTAAACTCAGAGGACTCGTAATGCCTCATGTGAGCTTGATTCCAATGTTATTGATGCTTGTTTATCAGCAGCATGCAAGATTTGAAATTACACAAATTGGCTGCTGGCTGTTCATCAAAACATGGATTGTCATATCAACAATGCACTGTGTAAGTTATTATTGCCCTATTTCAGTCCAGATGCATCCTGCTCATTATTATATAACACATAATACTACAATTTAAGTAATTAAATCCTCTGGAATATTACCTTTTTTCTGCATTTTGATTGATGTAATTTGGAGTAGATATGACAGTGTGAAGC